TTTCAGGCTGAAATTCTGCACATTTACTCAAAATAAATTAAAACATATGAACACACACATACATGAAGCAAGAATGTACCTGCTTCTGTTCAAGAGTCAGCATTTTCCACTGCTGTGCTAGCTTTCGGACAATATCCACATTTTTGATTCCTGAACAAAACAGACTGTTCATTATCTTGTTTCAAAACAAAGCAGAAATGCAAGGTAGCTGTGCGACTGAAGCGGATACCTGGATTTTGTCTGCTGATGGTGGGATGCATCTCTTTCACATATGTCATGTATGCTGTCAGGGGTCTCTTAGGTGGACCCCCGGTTGTGGTGCTAAAACTCTTTAACACTGGAGCTACACATGAACACCTACAATTGCAAATAACTGTCACTGTACAAAAATTGTCAAGGATGTTACAGAATAATTATTTGTTAAAAAAAACGTTTTTTACACCTTACAAAAAAGTTACATTTTAACTTTAGCTATTGAGCGAGTGCAGCGTTGTCACTATATATATATATATATATCTTACATTAACTGACCATATGGCTGTTAAAATATGAATGTATAGCTGCATTTAAATATGTTGCTAAAATAAAATTCATTAGATATGATACATTAACTAATAAACAAGTCATGCATCAATAACCTTAAACTTGAAGCATGCTCACCTCACAACAGATGCACTCGAGAACAAACCCAAAGACTTTACCAAAAGATTAGCACCGACTGACAACAAACCGAACGGAGCCATCCTACACGTGCTGTGATATCCCCGATAAAACGAATCAAATATTTAATATGCACGGTGAGAACAAGATACACAATAGCTGTCTTGAAATGAATGTTATGGTCGTGAATTACAGTTCCGCCTCCTTCGGTAAAGGCGCCATTCCATCTGCCATCTAAACGAAGTGCATTGTGGGAGAATTATTCGTTTAAAATTTTATAGATGTACCTGTACTTAAAGAACGTTTGGGAAATAGCAGTATTTACCAATTTAATTATATTCGTTTATTAATTTTGCGGGAAGCGCTGTATTATTGTGCTATTCAGTTATATTTGGTAAAGCGTGCATGGTGTACGTAAACGCTTTAACCCTTTGAAGCCTGACATATAACAAAATAAAAGTCAGAGAGAAAAGGACCCGAACTGAGCCAAAATATGCTGCTGCTGTAATTTATGTGGCCAAAAAGCAAGTAATTCTTATAGATCAATGAGATTTTTATAACAGTATTAGGCTATTTACATAAAATGCATATACATATCAGTTGCACATAGTTTTAATATAATTTAATTGTTTATAATGCAATGATGATTGAGAGATGTACAAACAAACATTCATCGAAAGCCTGATGTGTCATATTTGATACTTACATTTTAATATGATTTTTCTTCATAAAAAAGTAGATACATAATAAAGTGAATTTAAGTTGCTTCAGTCCAGCAATGAAACTAAAATATTATTAACATTATGAAAGTTATTCGTACGTTAATACTTAATAAGAATAAAGATTTCACATAAAAAAAAAAAATTACAAAAAACTTTAAACCACTGTGGAACGCAATTGGTTATTTAAAAGTGTATTTACATTTACATTTAGTCATTTTGCAGACACTTTTATCCAAAGCGACTTACAATTGGGGGATACATAAAGCGATTCTTCTTAAAGAGGCAAACAGATACAGGAAGTGCTTGTAATACCTAGTTTCAGGCATTGTTCAAATAAGTACAAGCTAGAAAGGGAAGGAATAAATAAAGAGAAAGACAAATTTGTTTTTTTTTAAATTTAGAATGAAGTCAAGTAGCGTTGAAAGAGATGAGTTTTCAGCTGTCGCTTGAAAATTGTCAGGGATTCAGCATTCCGGATAGGGGTGGGAAGATCGTTCCACCAGCCAGGAATGGTGAACGAGAATGTTCTGGAAAGTGATTTTGAGCCTCTCTGTGATGGTACCCCGAGGCGTCGCTCACTAGCGGATCTCAGACTTCTGGAGGGGATGTAGATTCGTAGTAGTGAGTG